GACCCGGTGCTTCCGCAGTTAGGAGTTTCTCCTTCAGGAATACGCCCACAAATCCACAGGCCCAGTGGACGGTGGCATTGTCTACACCAGCAAACACGGGAAACCACCCAGACAGGGGATGAGTTAAATAATTCATGCTCAGCTGCACAATGAAATCTGTATTTCTCCTCTCGAATTTTGGATTGTCACCTCAAGCGATCCATGCCCAGAGACAATCCTTGTCTCCCCAAACCCACCAAACTGCGCCTCCCACTTCCTCCCCAGGGTGGGAGCCAGCCTTGCCACCCACCCAGCTGCTCAGGCCACGCCCTGCAGTCACCCCTGATTCCTCTCTCCCTCTTGAGCCCCACCTCTCGAGTCTAAGCCCCCATCTTCTGTCTCCTGAACCTTCCGACGGACTTCTACTCTTAGCATCCTGTTTCTACTCTTGCCCCACTACAGCGATTTCTCCAGAGAGCAGCCTGAGTAATCACTTCTGAATGATTTAAAAATTAATCAAGGTCGTACGTCCATACAGTGGAGCATTATTCAGCCCTAAAAAAGAAGGCGGCAACTGATCCACGTTACGACGTGGATGCACCTTGCACACGTGACGCTGAGCAAAAGAAGCCACACGCAGAAAGCCGCATATCGGATGATTCCATTTATAGGAAATATCTAGAATAAGTAAATCCATGGAGACGGAGAGACTGGCGGCAGCAGAGAGCAGTCTGGTGGTTGCCGGGGGCTGGGGAAAAGAGGAATAGGAGGGAGCTAAGTGCTGAATGGGTGTGGGGCTTTGTTTGGGGGTCACAAAAATGTTTTAGCACGAGGTAGAAGTGATGGTGTGACACAACATCGTGAATAGACTACCTGCTCCTGAATTATACTTTAAAATGGTTAATTGTATGTTATATGAATTTCACTTCAATAAAAAAAAGAGAGAGAACAAATTAGATCACGGCACATTCCCTGCCTGAACCCTTCCACTGGCTTCACACACTGAAAATAACATCTCAGCTCCTTACCCCGCAAGGCCCCCGGTGATCCGGGCTCCGCTCTGGGACCTCGTACTTTCCCTCGCCCACCCGTCACCCCAAAACTCTGTGAGGGAGGTAATATCATCCCCATCTCAAGAGGCGACACCAAGTCCAGAGAGGGGACCTGGCTTGTGGGAGCCACATGGGAACGCAGGCAACTGAAGCCGGCCCTGCCTGACCCATAACGAGCTCCTGACTGTCGGGGCCACGGCAGATGGAGGCCGCTCAGATCCGCCCTTGGGATAGGGCACTCACGGCCCCAGCTGCAGAGCATGCTGGTGGCTGATCGCTCTCAGCTCGGTGGATGGAAGAGCCTCCCTGAGGACAGCCCCCTCCAGTGACAGGTCGGTGGGGCGTATAAAGGCCTGCCCCATCACCTCAGCTCCAGAGCTGCCTGGGGGTCAGCTGACGCCCAGTTGTAGCTGCATGGCAACTCTGCTCCTTCCCTCCCTCACAGGGCTGGTTTCCAAGGGGGCCTCCTGCCTGCTAATCTCCACCTCAGAGTCTGCTTCCCCGGAACACCCTAAGATAGCTGCTTTGTCCTTGAGGGTGGGGCCAGAGGGCACAAATTTTTATCCTGGGGGCGGAGAGGCGCTCTGATGACAGCACGTGAATGACAGGTCAGACTTGTACTGTGGAAGATCCTACTGGAAGACACAGCAGAATGGAGAGAGGTGGGAGGCCAAGAGCCAGTGAGGAGGCTGGGAGAGGGGCCGGAGCCTGAATGCACACAGTGAGGACAGGGAGAAGGCCAATTCCAGCAGTGGCCACTGGGTGGAATAAACGGACCATAATTCAAGACTGGTCTGGGGACGGGTGGGGTGACTGGGAAGATTCCGGTGCCCTGGGCTGGCTTCCATCTGGAAGTCACTCGTCAGTTCCAGGCCAGCCTGATGGGGCCAGCCCTGGCTCTACCAGTCACTCGCCGTGTGGCCTGGACATGGTACCTTGGTGTCTCACTCTCCATTAGAGAAAACTGGGCTAATACCAGGCCCTCCTCGTGGGGCGGCGTGCATATGGTTCAGAACGCTTGGGCAAGGCCCTGGCACAGGGTGAGTGCATCATCCTGTCCGCCCTGGGCTTCCCAAGTCCCTGCTGGGGGTCAGACACACCTGGCTGCAGCCCCGTGGGGAGGGGGGCAAGTCCCTTTGCCTCTGAGCCCCGGGGGCAGCAGTGGGAGGACAGCGATCCTCAGTCCCTTTAAGTAACACTCGAAAAGCCTCTGGCTTGTCAACAAAGGCAGCTGCTGCCGAGTACCCCCGTGAAGCTCCGTGTACTTGGCCATCCCACGGCAGGCAGGCAGCTGAGCCTCTGCAGGGCCAAGCCCCGCCCATCCTTCGCGCTCCCAGCCCGCTCCTCCTCCAGTGTTCTCTCCCTAAATGTCATCGCCATCACCCAGCTGCCCCAGCAACGAAGAGGCTCAGTCCTTTCTCCCGTGTCCCCAGCCCCAGACCGTCACCAAGCCCAGGTGCTGTCAGCCTCCCTGTGTCCAAACTTGCCGTCCCCCTACCTCCCTGCACATCATCCTGCCGCCACCCCCCAACCCCACCGATTCTGGTTCCTCACTTGAGCCAGCTTGAGACCTTTGGGGGTGCGTGCCATGAGCCCCCTGCTGACAGCCAAGCCCTTTACCCCGCTCAGTTAGAGCAAGGCCAGGCCTGGCTGTTGTCTCCCCAGGGTGTAGCACAGGGCCTGGTATACAGTAGGCCCTCAGTAAATGCTAGCTGGCTGGAGAACAGACACGTGAATGTATGCGTGTGCTGGCCATGCCGGTAGAAATAACATTAATGAGAATGTGTATAGAGCACATGCTTACAGTATCCACTACCTGCCGGGCACCCGTCCTAAGCCCAGGGAATAACTCGTTTCATGCTCAAGACGGTGGTGTGTTCTAGCTACTATTATTTCTCCAGTTCTACTGTTGAAGAAGCGATGTCACGGAGAGGTTAAGGAACTCGCGCAAGGTCACACAGCTGGTAGGCAGCGGAGCCAAGATACGAACAGGACTCAGCATCACAATCACGCAGCGCATTAGGAAAGCTCCCGGCCTCGGTGCTGTGCTTGCCCCAGACACCATCCTGCCCAATCCTCCAAACCCTCCGCCCAGCTGTGGGGCAGGCTTGAGGCTCCTCCCCAAGGTCATGCGGCTGTAAAGAGGACTATTCCATTACTTCTTCGTTGATGAAGAAACTGGCATCCACTTTACAGTGACTCTGGCTGGGGGCTACTCTCCTGCCCTCGGCCTACTTCCGGGGACCCTGATAAATGCTCTGAACCCACATGACTGAGGACTAGGATGTGGAAAAGGAATTCACGGGGGAAGTCAGCCAGTCGGGTGGGTGCCAGGCCGCCTGCTCTCCATGCCCCTGGCCTTCTCAGATTCTGGCTTCAGGCCCTTCAAACCCACCCGGAACAGAAGCTTTCAGACCGGCTGGCAGCAGCGGGGCATGCCTCAGGCCTGCTCATGGGGTAGGGTGGGAGAGGCCTAGCCACCAGGACCCCAGGGAACCCCCCAGCCCTCCCTCCACCAGAGCCATTCTGCTTTGTCCCAGCTTCTGAGGGTGCCTTCAATTGGGGGGAAAAATGTTCTGCAGTCAAAACAGCTTTTGAAAATCAGTGCTCTAAGGAATAAACGCCCTTGTCATGCAAAGTGGCCTTCTCAAGTCTACCCTGGTGACATTCCTGGGCTTGGATGCAGTGAATTCTGGGATGGAAGAGACAAGAGAGTGAGGATCCTTGATGCCCTCAGCCAAGTCCAAGGTCAAGGCTTCCCTGAATGTTCGTGGCCCTAGGTCCCTGGTTGGCTAGGGCCTGTGTATCTCCCCTGGCACGGCCCTCCCTCCAGGCCCTTGCCCACATGGTTTCTCCTGCCTGGAATAAAAAGAGGGACTGCATGTTGAGATCCCCTGCCTCTGACAAGCAACATGGGTGGCACTGTCCCTGTTCCCTGAAACCCTCAGGACAGACCTGAGAGGCATCATTATCCCCATGCAACGGAGGAGAAAAGACAGGTAAAGGAAAGAGAAACAACTCACCTGAGCATTCAAACCCAGACTGGTCTGACTCCAAAATATTTTTTCCACACCACCCTCACCTCCCACCTCCCACACCCCTGCCTCTCTCCCTCCTTCCCCTTCATCCAAATCCCACCCACTATCAGGGCCCTTCCAGGGCACCCCTCTCTCTCTCTCTCGCCCTGACTCCCCTTCTGTAAATGCCATTTACTCTGCTCTGAACACATTCTCCTGCTCCCATACCCCCTTCACCTTGCTGACTCCTTCACACCCTTTGGGAATCTATTTGGGGGTCACCTCTCCTGGGAAGTCCTCCCTGGACTGGCTGGGTCGGGAGCCTCCTCTGGGTCCCTCCTCGGAGTTTCCCCCATCACAGCCCTGAAGGGTATCTTGTGGTCATTTGCTTTCTGGCATCCTAAGGACACCCTAACCTTTTGAGAGCACAGTCCAGGTCCACTGTGCTCACCATTCTATCCTATGCCCAGCATGGAGCAAGGCACACAGACAGTGCTCAATCAACACTGTCTGAGTGAGCGGACTTGTGAGTTCAACAGGTAGCCTCGTTGTCGGCAATATGCCAGGCCCTCCTGGTGGGTGCCGGCCACAGGGCACAAGCGAGCGCCATCCCCGTCCTCCCGGCCCAGCCCTGCCACCAACAGGAAGCCTCTTGCCACCTTCACAGTCTCTGTCCAATTCTAACTCCGTGTCTTCGTCCACCCAAAAACTCCCTGAGCACCAGCTGAGCCAAGGGAATGCTAGGAGAGCATGTGGCAAAGCAGGACACAGGAGGTGAGGCGTCGTCTCTCGTCCCCCCGCCCTGAGCCGGCCCCGCGGCGTTCACCAGGCCCAGGAACACACAGCACCTGTTATGTGCCAGGCTATTTGAAGCGCCGCGGGCTGCTTGCCTGCGGGCCTCCCCACGCCCACCTGGGCCACAGCCCCTCCCCCAGACCCGGCCCAGCCGTACCCGGTTGATGAGCTCGCCGACCATGCCTGTCCAAGAGCCGTTGGGCTCCGGCGCCCCGTACAGCCCATCCTCCACCAGCCGCAGACGGTAACGGAAGCGCAGGAGCTCGGCCAGCTCTCGCAGCATGTCCACGCAGAAGCCCTCGAAACGCTCGTTCCCAGACAGGGCCTGGAAGTTCGGCCGGCGCATGACGTATGGGTTCTCCTGGGAAGCAGCAGAGAAGCGAGGTCAGAGACTGGGCAGCTAGGGGCTGCTTGGGGAGCAGATCGTGAATCTGCCTCCACGTGGGACAGAGTCACTGCATCCGTTCCTTGCCTACAGATGCTCAGAGTGGGGGGTAGGCCTGGAAGCTGCTGGACACGGTCTCCAGAGCCCCCCCCCCCCCGCACAGATCACTGGAAGCTGTTTTCGTCTCTGCCAGCCAACCTGATGCTCTGTTGTCTCAAACTCAAATGCCTACCAGGGAGGCGAGTAACCTAAGAGTAAATCACACAGAGGGAGATTATGCCAAACTGGAGTAGGGGCTTTCAAATTTCTGACCATGATCCATAGTAAGATACACATTTTACTTTGCAACGCAAGTCATCTGCACGCATGCACTTAAATAGACTTTGTTCCTCAAGAGTCCTTACTCTTAGGGATTAAAGGCAGCAGACCCTGATTGTTTTCTGTCCTGCTCTACTTCACTTTTTTTTTTTTTAAAGATTTAATTTTATTTTTTTTAATTTTTTTATTAAAAGATTTTATTTTTAAGTAATCTCTACACTCAACATGGGGCTCGAACTCACAATCCCGAGATCAAGAGTCACATGTTCTACAGACTGAGCCAGCCAGGCGCCCCTCTACTTCACTTTTCTACACGACCAGTAGCACCCACTGAACTGACTTGATGAGCTAGCAAGGGATCACAGGGTCTGCCCCACCAGGATTGAGTGCCAGCCGACACCACTATGAGGGAAGCAGGACTGAGATGCCAGATGGCCCGACGTCAAGAATTCTGGAATCCTCGGCTGTTTTGCAAAATGTTCTGATTATAAAGGTTAACAACAATTCACATTCTAATACGGATTCTGGTAATGCTTTGCAGACTAAACAAACACCTCAGACTCCGTATGGGTTTGCTACCCTGATGCTTATTTCTGAGGGGTTCCAGCAAACCTTACTGACCCCCAATGCACCAAATGAGCACAAAAGCAGGGAAAATGTGCCAAAGGGTTAGTAAGATGAGGCATTATGAAGTTGATGTCAACAAAAGGGAGTCTTAATCTTGACACAGTTATTGTCTAAATGGGTGTTTGTATAGTGTCACTTCGGACTGAGGAACAAAGGAAGTCAGGACCTAGGACACAGCGGGGAGGGTTCTGGCAAGAATATCCACAATGGTGGCCATGCACTGAGTACCTGCTGAGTGCCAGACCCCCACTCTGCCCCTCGAACAGATCCCTTTAACTCCTGGCAGGTGACCCTACACCAGAGGCATTATCAGACTCATTTTACGCATGTGGAAACTGAGGCTCATGGAGGTCAAGTGAGGTGATTTGTTCCCCAGTGACAGGTACGGTGAGGCCAAGTCTCAGTATAGGCTGTGGATTCGTGGACAGCACCAAACCCCACAGCTGAGGGGTAGTGGGATGGAGGGAAGTCAGTGAGTGCTTCTCTCTCTCCACCAAGCCGCCTTTCCAAGCCCCAAACTGTGGAACGGGGAGTAGGAATGTGAGATGATGCTAATAATAGCATCAGTAGCTAGCATTTCTTGTAGGCTTGCTGTGTGACAGCTATTCTGTCAGTGTGGGAGGTCGGTATTATTACCCCTGTTTCAGAGATGAGGACACCGAGGTCCCGAGAAGTGAAGCCGTAAGTGGCTGAGGTGGACAAGCTGGGCTTACTCCAAAGCTCTGCTCTGAGGCCCTGTGCTGATGGACCTCAAGTAGACAGAATCCAAGAGCGATGCATGAGAAACCAGACAGACAGGGACCCAGGCCGGGTATCAAAGCTGGAGAATCAAAAATCAAGACTTCTCTAGACAGGCACCAGTGTTAGAGCTGGAAGGCCTGCCCCCCCCCCCCCCAAGCTCTCTCCACATACCAAGCAGGGAACCAAAGCTCAGGGAGGTCAAGCATCTCGTCTGAGGCCACACAGTGGAAGCAGGGCAATGGCGAGGGGAGATGGGACAAAGCTGGGACTCCAAACGCAGCTGCTGTGCACTGTGAAGCCCTTGGTCCTTCCACCAAGGCCCAGCTGATCTCCAAGTCCAAGGCTGAGGCACTTGGGTTGTGGGTTTAGGTTCAAGGCCTCAGCATTGGGGTCTGAGCTTATTGAGGCAGAAATAGGGACTGGGGCCCACGAACAGAATTCAAGATCAGAGAACAATGATGGCCCCAGACCATCGGAACCAAGGGTCTGACGGAGCCTCTCATCCAGGGTTTTCCGACTTATTGAGAGAGTCTTCTGCGGAAGTACCGCAGACAGACAGTGGGCTGGTGCTAAGTCTGATTCTAAGAATCCAGCCCACAAATGGCTATGCATCTGTACGCAAAATGTACGCCCAACGGAATCATGGCAGGATGGCTCCTAGCGGGAACAAAGACTGAAACTGCCTAATTTGGGACAGGTTAAAAAGATTATTGATGTCATCAAAGACTCCTAGGCAACTCCTAAAATAAGTTCTATCGGATATATTAAGAGGAAAAAGAAAGAAAAAAAAAAAACCAAGCTACAGAACAACGTGTACAATATGCTACTCTTTGTGAAGGAAAAAGCGAGGATGTGCTTGTATATATACATAGATGTTTCTGCAAGGATGTGGCCTCTGAGGAAAAAAAATGGGTGCCTGGAGGGGAAGGAGTACTTTGAAATCTATTTTATGTAAGTTTGTGTTAACTTCTGTGTCTCCCCCAATGTGATGAATTTTTTTAATTAAAACTTTTAATATTAAATATTAAAATACTTAAAAAATTTTTGAAGCAGGGTATGTAAGTGTATACAGAAACATGAATGGTCAGGAAGAGCCAGAGCAATCCTAAAGAAGAAATTGGAGGATTGACCCTATGAGGTATTACTACTTAGTTTAAAGCTATGGTATTTGAGACAATGTGGTATTAGAGCAAAGACAGACAAATCGATAATAGAACAGAGAGCTTGGGGGGCTGGGGGGTGCCTGTCTGGCTCAGTTGGAAGAGCATGTGACTCTTGATCTTGGGGTCATGAGTTCGAGTCCCACACTGGGCATAGAGATTACTTAAAAATAAAATCTTAAAAAAAAAATGTCCATGTGAAATAAATGTGCCCTGTCCCCCTACCTCACATGGTACATCAAAATCAATTCCAAGTGGATGGTAGATCTCACTGTAAAAGGTACGATTAAGTTTTTCGAAAACAAATAGAAGACTTCGTGATCTTGGGGTAGGCGAAAACTTCTTAAATTCTAAAAGCATTAATCAAAAAAGGAAAAAAATCATGGATAAAATGGACTTTAGTAAAATTAGAAATCTTTTCATCAAAAGATTGGGAGTGCAGAAGCAAGCCACAAAGCACAAGGTATCTGCAAGACATATATCCAGTGACGACTGTATCCAGAATATATTAATAACTCATAAATCGATAAAAAGGTCCTATGTCCCAATTTTTTTCAATAATAAAAAAAAAAAAACTCAAACAGAGGACTTCCCAAAAGAAGAGTGTCAAATGGCCAATAAAGCAAAAAAGGTGGTCGACTTCCCTGTTCGGGAAATGCAAATGAGAAGCACAATGTGGTTCGTCTGTGGGGTCGTCCGGGTACCAAGCTCAGGGCGGCTGGGAAGACCGGAAGACATAAGCAGAGGGCCCGGCCCAGCACTGAGACGTCGGCCACGGTGGTGCTAGTTTATCCAGGATGCGAGCTCAGGAGAGCATGCCTTCCGTGCTGGGAGGCCAGGTGGCTTTCTTACCTCATGCGATCCCCCCACAGCCCTTCAAGATGGGATTTTACAGATGAAGGTAAAGTCCAGCTGAAGTGGTAGGGGGCAAAGTCATGAGGAGAGCGAGGTCCGGCCAACCCCAGAGTCACCAAAGAGAAGGATGAGAAGTCCCAGTGTGATGAAGACAATCACGGGGACCACGGAGTGTTCTGGGAAACCTCTGCAGGAGGGAGCAGGGCTGGAGGCTGAGGGAAGGACCCACACAGCCTTGCCTCCGTGGGCCTTCTTTTGCACCCTAGCTTCCTTGTGGGCCTCTGTCAATCTTGGTCCCAGCCACCCTTTCGGCTCCAGACCAGTGAGCTCCACCCCAGAGATAGCCTCACCCTTCCCCCATCTCGGACCTCCCCCTGCGCTCTCACTCCCAGCCTCTCTGCCGGCCTCAACACCCACATCAGCTTCCATTCCCTCTTCCTACAGCCCCTATAAGCTCAGGCCTCACCTCCCGACCTGGAGCACTTCTCCTCTCTGGAGCTTTTCTCACATCTAGGTCTGACCCTGCCCCTTCCTGCTCAACACTCTCCAAAGCCTCAGGGAAAGGGTAACTGCATCCTCCAGAGACCCTCCCCCCTCTGCAGCCCCGCAGCCTCTGGGCCACAGAGCTGGGCCACAGCACTTACCACCCTCTGTGCTTGCTAGGTGCCAGGCACTGTTCTAGGCCCCTTGGACAGAGTAGGGAAGAAGGCAAAGCCTGACCGCCTCTTGTCCCAGGCACCCAGTTTGACTCATGCCAGAATCCCCAAATGCCCGACGAGGGCCCTGCCCACAAATCCGAGTCAGAAAACATCAGTGAACGAGTGGGTATGTCCAGCTGTGCAGATGAGGCCGCTCCCTCCACATCCAGTCTGGCAAACATCTTCTAAGGCCCCTGCTCTTAAAGCTCATGCTTCTTGGCATGTCCGGCCCTTCCTTCTCTGTACACCCAACTCCTGCACAGCTTCTAAAGCCCTGTCTAATGCCATCTCCTTTGTGAAGCCTTCCTCAAACCTTCTAAAGCTGAGTCAGTCCCTCATTACCTTGTATTGGAATGATTGTGTCCAGGTCGATGTCCTCCATCAGACTGGCATCCCCTCCCCCGGTGCCACTCAAGAGTAAGGAAACCAGAAGGCCATCTGTGACTATTCACATGTATCCAGCGTTTGGGTTAGGCCTGGTGCACAGCGGCTTCAGTAAATATTTGTGGAATGAATGAATGAATGAGTGAATGAATCCATCCATCCAAAGAGCAATGAATGTCAGAAAGAGAACCACACTGGCTCACGGGCCTTGGGTAAAAGGCGAGACAGGTGTGAGGAGGAGATGAAGCCTCCAGGGTCATGGCTCGTCTCTCCTGACATCCCCTCCCTGACCTCTGTCCCTGCTCCCCACCGAGGACCCCACCTCTTTTGGCCCCAGGAAACTTCTTGGTCTGGCCACTGCCACAGGCATGGAGGTGTGACTTCTCCCAGCCAGCCCGGCCTGGCCCTCGGGGCCCCTCGGGGAGGCTGTTATGAAGCGTCTGGTTTCCCGTCTGCAGGCCATCTGGCCCTCCCCAGCAGGCTCACTGGCCCTTCTCCAGAGGGACACGAGGTCCACGCTCAATGGGGAGCTCCTCGGGGACTAAGAGAACAGCCTCTGGCATCCTGTGACACCTGTAGTAATCCCCTCTAACCTCAGCATCCACAGCTGTGAGCCGGCGCGGCTCCCACACTCACTGGGGGGCTCCCACAGACAGCGGCTGCCAGCACGCTGGGCACTTGGCTGTTCGGCAGGGCGCGGCTGCCTGGCGCACCGGCCTCCGGGCCCAGCTGCTCTGGGCAGCCTCCTGCTCACCAGGTCCTGTGCATCACCCCCCTCCTGACCTCCCGGCGGCCCGTTGTGCCAGGTGGGAGGCGGCAGGGTGCAGGGGTAGAGAGCACAGACTCCGAGCATGTCCCTCGGCTCCAGCCGGGATTCGCCCTGTGACCTGTTTCCTAGCCTTCGAAATGAGGAAAATAAGACAAGCCTCGTGGAGTGGCTGGCAGGTTTATAGAGCAGCACCTGGAAAGGGCCCAGCACGGTGGCTGGTGCAGAATGGGGCGCTCCATGTGTGTTTGCTGCTGCACGAAGGCCCCCTGGTCTCAGACCTGCTTAACTGCAGGAGCAGCACACACAGGGGCTCCAGGACTGCGTCCCTGGCTGGTGCTCAAGTTCAAGTTTGAAGGGACTGCGGGTGCAGAGAACAGCGGCCACGGCTCAGGCTCTGGAGCCTCAGGGACATGACCTGGGGCAAGATGCCTCACCTCTCAGAGCCCTGCTTTCCACAGCTTTAAGATGGACATGAAGTGGTCACGTGTCAACACCCTCAGGTGGCAAGTGTGGCCAAATGACTACTCTAGTGATGGTGATTTTCGGGGGTCTACCCTGGACCAGACACTGTGGGAGGCGCCCTGCCTGTGTGGCCCCATGGGCTCCCCGTGACACTAGTCATTGCCATATCTGCCGTGTGACAGCCAGTTGGCAGAGCCTGTGCCCTCCCTCTTCCAGTGGCAATGAGGCTGCTGACACCCTGGCCACAATCAGGAGTTGCTGGGTGCACGGGTCACATTCCCTGCTGGTCTGTGTGCTGCGTGAGCTGAGGCATCCCCCTCACCAGGACTGGACTGGGGCACTGCTCAGGAAAGGCCCTTCCACCCACTGCCCGGCCCCCCCAAGCGCCACTCACCAGAATGGTCGTGACCACCAACGTCTTGTTGGCCAGCGTCTGCGACAGGTTGATGTCCAGGGTGGTGGCATTCATGGCCAGGGTCCGGTTAGAGTACCATACCCCGATCTGGGACAGAGAAGGGTCCATCAGCACGAGCCCGGCCTGAAGACCCCTCGGCCTGCTAGGCCTGCCCCCACCGTATCGGGACTCTGGATGTTCCCCCAGGCCTGCTCACCTCGCGGTGGCCCTGCCGGGACTTCTCCAGGATGCGCAGGGTGTAGTTGGTCCTCTGCCCTTTGCTGTTAAACTCGACCCTCCCAGTCAGCCCATCATACTCTACCTGGCAGGGTGGGAGGCGGGCAGAGGGGGGCGGGGGTGGCAGGGGGCCCAGAGGCACAGGAGGGAGAGGCCCAGAGGGGAGGAGACAGAGAAGGAAGAGACAAACAAGAGAGGGAGAGGGACCAGGGAGGACCACAGTTAAAAGAGAAAGACAATGTGCCAGCAAAAGAAGGGAGGTGGGGCGAAGCAGCAGGGAGAGGGCAGTGCAGACAGGCAGAGGAAGGCCAGGAGGGGAGGGGCCGCGGAAAGGAGGAGGAAGAGGTCCAGAGAAAGCAGGAGGGGGTGGGGTTGGTAGCAGCGGCGGGGAGAGGGCAGCGGGGCCACAGGGTGGACACAGTGAGTGCCCCGGCCTGAGACGGACGGCCCTGCCCCCTCGGCCCACCCCGCTCCCAGCTCACCATGCGCAGGTAGTTCATCAGGCTGGTCCCGTGGGGCCAAATGTTGGCTGACGTACAGGCCAGCGGCTTCACGCCGATCTCTTGGCTACGGTTCAGCTCCCGGACGGCGCTCACCACCACGTGCACGGCGTCAAACATCAGGGCCGCCGACAGCTGAGGGGACAGGATGGGGAAGAGGCAGCTTAGCCAGGGCGCCCCAAAGCCCTCAGACAGCGCCCGTCCCTCCAGGAACGTGGAATCAAGCCGGCGGGCAGTGAGGACGGGTCTCTGGGGGCCTTTCTGAGGGAAATCAGGTGGCAGTGGGAACAACGTGCGTGCTGCCCATGCCTCTGTGGGAGCAGCTCTCCCCGAGTCACGCAGCCACGCACCTGTTTGGGGGACGGGCACGTCAGAGAGGGTTTGCCTGGACGGCCAGCTGGGTCACCTCCACACGGAGGTGTCCGTGGGCCTGAGGGCGTGTCCCGGCATCTGTGTCTGCGAGGCTGATGCAGGTGCGGGAAGAGGGCCTGATTGCGGGAGGGGGGCTCATGCATGCAGGCTGGACACACACAACTATCTATACAGAGAGGGGGTGTGGCATCTAGGGATTTAGGAGGCAGGTGAGCATCACGGTTGTGAGCCTGGGCCTGGGCAGCAGGCAGCCCTGAGCTGGAGGCCTGACTCTCCTATTTCCACCTTGGTTTCCTTCCCTGTAAAATGGGGATAATTGTACCCTCTGCCTCCACGATCTCGTGTGGGGATCAGACAATGCAACACACGCACGAGCTCAAAACCGCCCGGCGTACAGTGAGTGAGTGATACACCTGGGCGTCTGTGCGCGTGTGTTTTCGAGAGTGCGTCTCCGCTGGCTTGGTGTGAGGGTCGGAAGGGCTGTGTTGTGGAGACAGGTGCAGGGGTGCACACGAAAGCGCCTCTGCCCAGGTAGGTCTGTGACGCCCGACGGCCCGGCTCCGTGACCGCATGTGTGTCTGCTCAGGAAGAGTGCCTCCGTGTCTTGGCATACGACTATGTGTCTGGGAACAGATACACGTAAGTATGCATCTTTGGTATGTCTGCATTCATTCAACATCTATTATTGGACCCCTACCCTGAGCCAGGCTGATTTCGATGTTGGGGATACAATGGTGAACAAAGCAGAAAGAAACCCCTGCCCTCGTGGAACTTAGTCTATCTACCTATATCTATGCCTAAGCAAACCATAGCGCAACTGCTGTGATGATTAGATATGCAAGGACGGGTGCTATGGAGAAAAATTCAGTAGGGAAGGGAGCTAAAGACTGGGGAGTTTCTCTTTTTTAAGATGGGGGACCAAGGAAGATCTTATCACTGAGGGAACATTGGAGCACTGACTTGGCAACGAGGGAGTGAGTCACTAGTTCTCTGGGAAAGTACAGGTGAAGCAGCAGTAGGAGCAAGTGCAAAGGCCCTGGGGTAGGCGTGTGGCCGGGGCAGCATGGGAGGTGGCACGGGAGGCGTCGCAGCCTGTACTCGGGAAGCGAATGGGGGCGCCAGAGGGCTCTGAGCACCATCTGCTCAAGGTCTGAGGGGGCCCGCAGAAGTGTCTGTGTGCCCGGGAGGAGGGCGAGTGCTCACCGCAGGACCTGGGTAAGTGCTGACTTCACAGTTCTCCCTCCAGGACATGTTGAGGCTGCGCACAAACTCGGGGTAGAAGGGATGTGAGGTGTTGAACATGGAGAAGCCCAGGATGTTGGAGGTGTCCTCCACGATCCCGTCCAGGTGCAGGATGGGAAAGTCCTGGGGCCGAGAGGAAGAGGTGAGGCCTGGGGCCGGGCCCCACGCAGGGCAGACACCACGGGAGGGGTGTGGGGACCGGAGGGGCTAGATGGGGTACGCACCATGGTGGTGAGGATGTACTTGTAAAATGCTGAGGTCATCCCCAGCTCTGAGGCCTGGAGGACACGGGGCAGTGCGGAGGTGGCGGGAGAGGTGGAGACCCACGGGCAGAGCCGAGAAGATGCCGAGAGAGGAAGAGAGATTTAGAGACAGGCCTAGTGAAGACACCCGTGGGAAACGCAGTAAGAGACACCCCGAGACAGAGACAGGGAGAAGAGGATGCGTGGGGGCAGAGGAAGACCTCGGTCCCTGATGTCGTGCTGCGTGGACCGGTGCCCCAGGTGGGATGAAGGTCTCGGTGGAGGAGAAAATGGCAACCTCAGATGCCCTCATCCCTCTTTAGGGCACTCACAACATAGCCTTCTGGACACAGGTGGGCAAAGGGATGCCTTAGAAACAGGGCAGGCTGGGAGGGTACCCTGAGCCTTAACCTCCCCGTGCTGCCCCAAAGCCGAGTGTGGGCTGCTACTGTATGCGGCTCAGCCTGGTCATAGGCCAGATAACCCCCCGCCCTCCCCACAATCTTTAAGAGCACTTTGCAAGGCTTCAGCTGGAATCTCAAAATTCAAGTTTGGAGCCCCCTTCTTCACAGTCCTTGAGGAGGACAAAAGGAGAAGGCCTCTCCCTACGAGGGGTGTGGAACTCCGTCCCACTACAGTCATTAGAACGGTAAACAGCACCCCAGCCTGCGTTGCCTGAGGGTTAGGAGTCGTCATCATGAGGGTCAGGGAAGTGCAGGCTCGAGAGGAAAGTGACCGCTGGTCACTAGGTTCACGGGACTCCAGCCCCGGCCCGCCTCCCTCCCGAGCCCAAAATCCTCTCTCTAAGCTTTCCTGCCTCAAGGGCCCTGTGGATTCTGTCCACCCATTTCCTTTACGCTATGATCAGCAGTGACACATGGTTTTAATTAAAAAAACAAAACAAAAAAACTGGAGAAAAATAAATAATACAGATCAGATTACGAGGATGAATTAAGAGCAGGGACGCAATGAATGATGAATGAATATGGGTCACCGCTGGAGGGCATGTGGCGGGCCGGCGGGGGAAGGTCCCGGCACTATACCCCATCTGGGTGCCCTTGAGCCAGCCCATCCCCCCCCAGAACCCCAGCTCCTTCGGCCACAAAATGATTATCACACCCACCCCACACGGTGGGTGGGAGCCAAATTCAAGTGCCTCCACGCAGCAGGATAGGTACTCAGTGAAGATCATGGGGAGCTCCCACCGCAGTGACCCACCGAGGCAGAAACTGTGCAGAGAGGGGAGGGAACTCTCCAGGGCCCGACCAGGGGTGCAACCGGGAAGCAGCCGAGCTAATCGTCTGCACATAGGAAGCAGGTCTCCACATCCCACGGGACCACTGAGGCACATGGGCACAGGGTGACTTGCTATCACGCCACATTTCCACCCCAACCCTGTAGGGAATCAGAGACCGGGGGACCCACCTTACGGAGGATAAGGTGGGAGATAGACGCGTTGGCGTCAATGATGATGGTGGACACCTTGTCATCCCGGATCTCCTTGAGCAGCGGTGTGGGGTCCCGGCTATCGTCCAGCATCCTCACCGACAGCGTCTCCTTGGAGATGAGGAAGCCACGCACCAGCTCCTCCAACCGCAACAGGCCTGGGGGAGCCGGAGGGCCCGGGTCAGAGTTCCATGGGAATTGCCCAGCGTAGGGGAGCCTGGGAGAGGACGAGGGCCACACTGCCCAGAGCGCGGTAGCTCTCTTGGGGGTTCTGGGCCCTGGGACCCCCTGCTCAACCTCCACGCAACTGTCTCCTGCCACCTTTCTGCCCCCCTGGGACGTGTGACGGGGATTTCACGTTGGCTCGTGCAAGCCACATTCCACTCCTGTTGCCCAAGCCACCAGCAGCCTGCCTGGGGCTCAGGCCCAAACCCTGATGGCAGCCCAGCCTCCCCACGCTCTCTCTCACCCACACCAAACAGGCCCAGGCTCCACCTGCAGAACTCGGCAGAGCCCAGGGTGCCGGCCCCCGCAACCACCCTGACCTGAACCCACTGCCTTCCCTCGCCCGCTACGACAGCCACACCTCCCCCCACCCCGAGTCTGTCCCCTTCACAGCGGCCACAAGCAAGTAAAGCAGAGGTGCTCCTCCTTGTGCCCAAACCCTCTCATGGCTTCTGGCTCCTTCCGAGCAGAGGCCCAAGTCCTCACAACTTCTGGGCCCCACTCCCCCTGCCTTCTCTGTCTTGTCTTGCACACACCTAGGCCACGCTCTTGTCCTGTGGCCTCTGTGCTAGCTGCTCCCTCTTGACCCAGATGCCCGCACAGCTCCCTCCCTCACCTCCTCGTCACCTCCTCAAAGAGGTGGTCACCATTCTACTTGGGATAGCACCGCCTTCCTACTTCCTAGCTCCTCTCACAGAAAGCCTTGGCATGCGGGGGGGGGGGGTCCTGGCCTGGCTGGAGCCCGCACTGCTCTATCTCCAATACCAAGAACAAAGTCTTGGCAGGCATTCCTTAAATACCTTCGGAAAGACGATTTCTCCTGGAGGTTACTGAGCATGCCCCCCCCCACCTGCACACCCACAAAGCCACGGGCCTACCGGACACCTCCACTTGATGGCCACAAAGACGCCTCGACCCCGACGTGCACCTCGACCTGACTGCTCCCTGCTTCTCGGGCAGAACCCCGTCACCATCTGTGCGGCACCTCTCCCTTTTCCCTCAGGACTCTCCCCAAACCCCTCGTGGCCCCTCTCGAGCCCACTGCCACCGCCCGACAGCTAAGCAGCATCGCCTCACCCTGCCTGTCGCCGGCCTCCCGGCCACACCCTGTGGCCCCTCCAGTCCGTTCTCTGTGCTGGGGTCAGGGCTCTTGCTGCGGTGCACCCGGCCGTGTCCCCTGCCCCACCCTTTGTGGGAACCTTCCAGGGCCACAAGGCCAACACACAAGGCCCCAGATGAGCGTGCCTCCTGCACGTGCTGCTTCATGGCTCCCACACTCGGGCACCGGGCTTGCCGGGAGCTTCCTTGAGCCTCTCACAGGGGCCGCACTCCCCCGGACCCACAGCCTCTGCCCTGCCACACACCCCCCCTTCTCCCTGACCCCAACTCCCCCCAACCTTTAGGTCCCACTCAGAGGCCCCTTTCTCGGCGACACGGGCTCTGAGGCTTCTAGACCCGGGTAGGATTCCCTTCTGTGTTCTCCGACAGTGCCCCACAGGGCCACTGACATGGATCACTCTGCGTCACAGCTGCTTGGCTGCCGTGTCCCCCACTGGCCCTGGAGTGACCTCAGGGACCACACCTAGTGCGCACCCACCGGGGCCTAGCAGGGGCCTTGCACACAGGTGCCAGTCACTAGCTGCTGACCAAATGATCTCTTTAGGGAGGTGGGCGGGTCTGGGTTCCTGAGGGGGAAGGATGGTAGGGGACGAGGGGAGCTTGTGCCGTGTGGGAGACTAGAGCTCTTGGGCAGGGGAATTTGGGGGAATAAAAACAAAACATCCAGTTCTCCCTCACACTCGGCCTTGGCGCAGATGAGGCTGGCCGAGGGGTAGTTGAAGGACTTGAGGATGCGGGAGACCGCCAGGCTGACGTCCTCGTTACTGGGGTACAGGCTGACGGACGCGAAGCGTAGGTACTGCAGGCGGGGTGTCTCCTCGGGACCCACCTTGATGTGGGGGATCTGGACAGAGAAGGAGCCTTTGCTTCTGCCCTGTTGCTGCCTCCCCAGCCTCGCCTCCCAGGGACCCACCCCTACCCTGCCCCGCACTCGGCTCACCTCCTTCTCCCCACAGATATGGCTCACGGTGGAGGCAGACGCAGGGCTGGAGGAGGGCCCCAGGACAGACACGACCCCCTTGGGCAGGATCTGACACACTGCAAGGGGTGGGGGAGACAAACGGCAGTCAGGGGCCCTCCTTTCATCCCCCACCTGGCCCGGGAGCACCTCTGACGCTTGGAGCTGCCCGATCCCCCTTGGCCACTCCAGACCCAGAGGCCCAATCCCCGACCCCACCCACTGCATTGGAGAAGACAGAGAGAGATGGGGAGAAATGGCAAGAGGGGTGGGTCAGATCAAGAGAGAAACAAAGGAAGGACAAAAAGGAAAGAGCGGGGGCCTCCTGGCTGCAAAGCTAGCACCTGCTTCCCCAGCCTCTGTCTCACTCCTCCTTTCTCTTTTTTCTTTTTTTTTTTTTTTTTAGATTTTATTTATTTATTTGACAGAGAGAGACATAGCGAGAGAGGGAACACAAGCAGGGAGAGTAGGAGAGGGAGAAGCAGGCTTCCCGGCGAGCAGGGAGCCCGATGCGGGGCTCGATCCCAGCACCCTGGGATCACGACCTGAGCCGAAGGCAGACGCTTAACGACTGAGCCACCCAGGTGCCCCTCACTCCTCCTTTCTAACCGTGCTACAATCTGGGGTACGACCCACAGCCCCTCCACCCCAAACCCACAGCCAAGGGCCCCTCTCTGCCCCACATCCCAACATGGTTCTTCTCTTGCATTCATTTGCTCCTCTTTCTTCTCATTTCTTTCCCCTTAAACACGTCCGCATCTCGACACTGGGAGATAGAAACTGTTGTTTTTGCCTGTCCAGTACCCATTCTCACGGCAAAACCCTAACTTCTCCTCGGGGAACTGTAGGTTTCCCAGGATTGGCCGGCACCCGAGCCAGTATCAGAACCACGCTGTCCTGGCCAAAGTGATTGGCGCAGAGATGGGGATGGGTTCAAACCAGGCCATCAAGAGCCTTCCCCAGGTTTCTGCTACAATTATGACTAGGTTTGCTATCCTGGTAAGATGTAAGTTCTGAGCTGTTGGGCTGGAATATTAGGGAGAGTATTCCTGAAAATGAAACCAACTTAGAGGAGATCAGGGCCCACAGATGAAGACACAAAGATTCCTAGGACATCATTTAAAGTTCCTGGATCAAGCCATGCCTGAAACAACCCTGGGACATCATTTGAGTACCTGGATCAAGCCATGCCTGAAACAATCCTAGGCATCATTTGAGTACCTGGATCAAGCCATGCCTAAAACAATCCTGGACATAATGTGAGAACCTGGATTAAGCCATGCCTGAAATTAGTCCCTAGGCCTTCTAGTGCCATGAGCGGATAAGTTCTCTTTTTCCCTTAAAGCAGCTTGAGTCCGCGGGTGCCTGGGTGGCTCAGTCGTTAAGCGTCTGCCTTCGGCTCAGGTCATGATCCCAGGGTCCTGGGATCGAGCCCCGCATCGGGCTCCCTGCTTCGCAGGAAGCCTGCTTCTCCCTCTCCCCCTGCTTGTGTTCCCTCTCTCGCTGTCTTTCTCTCTGTGTCAAATAAATAAATAAAATCTTTAAAAAAAAAAAAAAAAGGCAGCTTGAGCGGGGTTTCTGCCACATCCAACTAAAAGCATCATAGCTAAATACCTTACCTTCTAAACTTGATTCTTCTCCGCCTTCCACATTGGTGAAGGCCCCATTTCCACAAAGCAAATGCTTAGAAACGATTCTTGCCTTCAAGCCTTCTCTCAATAGGCAAATTAGTCACCAAGTCCTGTCTCTTTTTTGTCCTCAAATTTTCTCACATCTGTCCCCTTCTCTTTGACCCCCTCCTCCCCTGCCCTACTTTAGGGCTCTCAACTCAGGCATGCAACACCCTCCTCACTGATCACCCAAATCTAGCCTCCAGATTCACCTTCCAAAAGCCCAGCTCCCTGGCCTAAACCCATAGATGGCTCCCTTCTGCCTAGAGGTGAGGATGGCATCTTTCAGCCTGCCACTGTAGGACTCCTTGAACTGATCCACCCATGCCCAGCCTCACCTCCCATTGCTCTGTCACACTTCAGCCCCAAATTCTCTCACGATCCCTCCAAACATGTCCTAAGTCCAGGTAGTCGGGACAGGTGCAACCCCACACCCTGTTCCTTGGCTCCATATACCCACCTCCTCCGCTCCAGCTCCAGACTATAGTCATATGCCTGGAACACCATCTGCCTCCTCACCCTCCATCCCAGCTTCTCCCAGTTTGTGTTCTGTGCTGCACCAGTCAGAGAAGTACAAGAAACACTGTACCCCATTCTTCCTCTCACTGATTTGAAACAAACATGAATATAACAAAGGCTCTGATAAGGCCTGTAGGAAATCAACCAGGCTAAAACACTGAAGTCAGCATCTCCTGGAGGTGTACAAACCCAGCATTTCTGTTCAAGAGATACCTATTAACGTTCGCTCAATCTGTGAGGATCCAACAAATACTTATGCACCTCTACTATGTGGCTCCAGGGCATACTTTGAGCAATGCCACTCCTATATCCTGCTCAACTTTCAGAGCTCAGAACTTTAGTTTAGCCTTCTCCAGAGTGCCTTCGCTGTCCCTGCCCTGAGACTCCCTTGCCTCGCTGCCCAGGCCCGTCATTACTCAGCTCTGGGGACTATGTCCCTGGCCAGCTTATCTTTCAAATGAGGCCCTCAGCTCCTATAAGGGGTGAACTGGGGCTGGCGCTCTCCCCACCTCCCCACACCCAGCAGCACCATCTCTGGGAAGGGAAAGGCAGAGCGAACATGAAGGAAGGAGCAGGTAAAGCTAGAAAGCAAGCAAGCAAGCTGAGGAACGGACTGAGGGCTACCAGCCGGCCCTGCCTCACCCCACACCCCCTGTGGCCCTGCTCACTGGTGTCCGTGGTCTCGTACTGGCTGTCCCGCTGAAGCTCAAAGATATCTACTTCCACCCGGGCCTTGGCTGGGACCTCGATGATCCCGTTGATCTGCTCCCGGGCCAGAGCCAGGGCCAGACGCTCACCTCGGCCGCACACCGTCTGGTCGTCCAGGATTGCAGCTGAAGGGACACAGGGGTTGGGGACCAGACTCTGGGTCCTGAGAAAGGAGAGGCTGGGGTCCTAGACTCCTGGGCACTGAGGTGGGGGTGGGGATGCTGACAGAGGGTCTAGGCTCCTGGACGTAGGGTTGGACAGAGCTGGGGGTCTAGACTGCTGGGTCCAGGAGGAAGAAGGAGCAGGGGGCTGCTCTTCCTTGTTGCTGAGGGGAGCTGAGACCTGAAGCCCAGACCCCCGGGGCCTGAGGGACTGGCACGCTCAGGGAGGGTCTCTGTGGAGGCAGGGCAGGGGCTGTAGGGCCTCACCCATGCGCAGTGATGAGAGCACCTGGCAGCTGGGGCTGGCGAAGGCAACAATCAGCAGCAGCAGCAGCTCAGCCGGCATCTTCCTCCCCTCCTCATGGGGACGCAGCTGCCGCGGCCCCCACTCGCCACCTGCAGGGAGCGCCCCCCGCCCATGGGCGGGGAGACTGCTGATATGGGGGGGCCTCAGAGCCCTTTGGTGACCACAGGCCCTGGGCCATTGTGGGTGAGCTCTGAAGGGCCCTGCCCTTGTCGGAAGCTGACGACACTGAGGGCATTGCCACGAAGGAAGCTCAGGCCCTGAGAGCACTACCAGCAAGGAGCTCCCAGCACTGAGTGAGATAGGCACGGGTGGAGGACATTCACAGCTACCAAAATGGGAGGGATCTCAGGTTAAGAATTCCAGGGACCATCCCCACTGCAAGAGGAACCCAGGAAGTGCCACCCCCCCCAACCCAGTCCCGCCCCTGTCTCTGGGCAGGCAGCTGTTACTAGGCAACAGAAACTGGCTGGAGAGGATGCGGTGGTTGCTAGGCAACCCCATCCCAGGCCTCACTTGCCACTTTCCTGACGTCCCTGGCTCCCACAATCCCACGGGGAGAGAGGCCTGGACATCCGGGGTCTGGAGGGGAGAGTATCCGGGAGTTAAGGAAACTTGGAAAGAGAGGGAATGATGGAGAGAGACGGAGACACACATGGAGACACACAGATGGAGACAGATGGATGGACCTGAGACAGCCAAGGGGCTTAAAAAAAAAAGTAGAGAGAGAAGGAAGAAACAGTAGACAAAAATAGGAAGAGAGGCTGAGGCAGAGAAAAGGGGAAAGAGAAAAACAGGCAGAAATGCAAGAGAACAAGAAGATAAGACAGGAAAGGGAGGGGGATAGAGATAGAGAGGACAGAGGAGTTTCTGGGAGGTAAGGACAGGACTAGAAGGAAGAGGGAAGAGGCAAGAAGGCAGGGAGCCATGGGGGTGGAGAAAGGGCAGGGCGGGGAGAGGAGTGTAGGGCAGGCAGCAGAGAGGGAAATCAAGGCACAAGAGACACAGAATAGGACAGGGAGACAGAATGGAGAGAGAACACAATCCCACTTAAGATGCCAGCAGAAGTAGCTGGAAGAGAAAAGTGAGTAAGGCAGGGAGGGAGCTGTCTGCCAAAGCAGATGCCACACTGCAGCCCCCACCCTGCTCTGGGGAGCTGAGGAGTAGGGGGAGACAGTGCATCTCTGCTCCCCAGATCGGCTCCATCCCCAGGGAATTAGAGTCCTCCAGGAGCCCCAGCCTTCTGTGGAGCACCCGCCCCCTTCCCCCCCAACCAGGGAAGGAATGAGTTCAGCTAGATGCACAGCTTCACCTGGCCAAGAGCCATGTCCCGGTGGAAGGGACACTGGGTTTCCAGGGGAGAGGTTTACTGTGAGGCTCAGAGTGCTGTGAGGTGAGCTTGGGGGGTCTCCCTGCACCTAATCTGATCCCCACAGAAGAGGGGCTTGAGCTAGTGAGATAGCAGAGTGAAACCTGCCAGGGGAGGGTGGAGGCACAATGCAATGCTTCGGACCATCCTTGCAGCCAGGAAAACCTAGGCCAGGGCAGCAGGAGACCCTATCAGTCCCTGCTCTGCCCCAACTCCCACCTGACCTTGAGCAGGTCCCTCTCTCGGTGCCTCTGCAAAAGGCAGGCTGGGGGTGGGAGGGCATCCTGGACAGGCTGGGGGCTGCGGATGGTCATTTGGATCTAAAGTGAAGGCTTCAAGGGTGGAGGAGCAAGGCAAGTTGGAGACCAGGAAGAACTCTCAGGGGGAGGGCTGTGGAGGGTGGGGCTCGGAGAGAGGCAGGAGCGAAGGGGGGGGTCATCCCAAGACACCAGGGGCTTCTGGGGGCAAATCAGGGAACAGAGACTGGAGGACAGGGAAGCCCGAGGGACAGACAGGAGCCAGGAGGGCAGGGTCCCACAGGTGGCAGACACAGGTAGGAGCAGAAAGACAGAGTGTGGGGGCCAGGGTTGGGGGCAGTGAATGGACAAAGACATACAGGAAGGCACAGACAGAAAAGACAGACCAAAAAGAAGTAACTGGGGCTAAATGAGAGACAAGGACATACACATGTTATCTAGAAGTGAGACACCAAGAGAAACAGAGATAAGATGGCCAGGGTGAGGCAGGGAAGCAGGCAGGCCTGAGCCCCATAGGCCCAGACACTTAGGCAAAGGCAAACAGCAGCCAACTGGGCAGAAGGAGCCGAGTCAGGGGCCCTGCCAGGGGAGGGAGACAGACAAGAGGGTGAGCAGGAGACATGGCCAAGGTGAGAAAGGAAATCGGCGAGACAAATGGGGTGAGGAAGAGGGCAAAGGAAAAAAAGACCACAGGTGCAAGGATTGTAGGGAGGGGGGAAAAAATCACAAAACTCTGAACAGGAATAGGGCTAGGTGGAAAGAGACAGAGAAAAATGAATGTCAGAGCCACACAGCAGATGTAGAGAAGAGGAAGGGGCCAGTGGGACAGGCACAAACTAGGGGAGGGACAGTGAGGGCCAGGGAGGGAAATGAGGTGGGGAGGAAGAGCGAGTAATCTAGAGGGGCACAGGCAGGGACAGGCTAAGTGCCCATGTAAGGGGACCCGGTCCACGTTGAGGTGCAACCACCCAGGGGGTCTGGAGGAGGGTGGTCGATCCCCGGAGCCCACAAACCCCAAGGCATGGGGAGGGATGAGGACCGACAGGCCAGCAGGATGCAGAAATGAGCAGCGGATGGGGGGTGCGGTGAGACTACCAAGGAAAAGGCAAAGTGGACCCCGGAGTGGCTAAGGAGAGAGGAGTGGATTTGCGGGAGGAGGGCAGAAAAGTGAACAGGAAGACAGCCTCCAAGTGCAAGGGCAGAGAAGGAGGACAGAGGAGCAGGGCCACAGGCAGAGCAAAGAGTGGACAGAGAGAAGTGGACAGAGCCACACCTGGCGGCGTGGGCACCACCAAAAGAGCCAGACAAGAGATAGGGGAGTTTTGAGAGAGAGAGAGAGAGATCAACAGAGAGACACCAAGAAAGAGTTAGGCTAATGGCAAAGAAGAGAGAAGTTGGACAGAGTCAGAGAGAGGCCCAGGAGAACACGAAATGGAGATTGTAAAATGGAAAGACATTTCCAGGAGAGAGAGAGCAGATGGGATAGGGATGGGCCCGTGGCAGGCGGAGGGGATGAGCCTCCGAGGAAAGAAGAGAGTCGGAAAGAGAGAGAGAGCAGAGCCGGTCACCGCGGGACCGCGGCTGGAGAAAGCAGGGGCGGAGACTGGCCGGGAGTCCCAGACAAGGAGTGAGCCCACAAGTAAGAGCCAGGCAGCCCCTCAGGACCCCGGAGGCGGGGGGCCGGGGGTAAGGCTGAGCTGTGCACCCAGAAGAAGGGTGAGGAGAGGCTGAGGGGAATGGCGGTTGGGAGATGGGGGACACGAGGCAGGCCCCTACTCGGGGAGGGACAGGGGGACGTGGGGGCCCCACCGGCCGGCCTTGAGCCCAGCCTTCCAGGACCCAGGCTGGCCCCAGCCCAACCCCCGCCCCGCAGACACTCACGGATCCTGGTGGGACGGAGGGCTGGGCTCCCTCGAGGCCCGAGAAGACAGCGAGGAGATGCTCTGGCGCTGGGTGGTGGTGTGGCCGGGGCGGGGGGAGAGGGCAGTCCACAGGGCCCCCTCCCCCGCCGCCGACAGTGGCCCCCAACTAGTCCAAAACGGGGGCTCCCCAGGAGCAAGGAGGAAGGACAGGTGGAATCGGAGAGGGTGGGCCGGGGCAGGGAGGAAGGGGAAAGGAGAAAATGGAGGAGAGAAGGGGAGAGAGGAGAGGGGGAAGGAGCAAATGGAGGGGAAGGAGGGAGGAAAGGAGGAGAGGAAGGTGAAAACGGAAGGGAGGGGGGCACAGGCAAAGCCGGGGGAGGGGGAAGCCGGCCCAGGAAAGGGCCCCCACCCCCTCCCCTAGCCGGGCCGGCCTGGGGGGGCCACGGGGGGCGAGGACTGGCTGGAGACCGGGAAGCCGGCCATCAGGAGGAGTGGGGGAGGGGAGGGCTGGATTGGGGGGAGGGGGCCACCCCTTCCCCCCTCCCCCCTGGAGCCTTGGCCCTGCCCTGGATGAGGCAAGGGCCCGGAGTCCTCAAGCCCTCAGCCCCCAAGGGAAAAGCATGCTAGGGGCGGGGAGAAGCGGAGGGGTAGAGGGGCCGGGGAGGACACGGTGCTGGGAGACTCGGAGAGCTGAGACGGGGGCAGGCGAGGTGCAGGGATGGGGAGGAGGGAGGGAAGGATGGAGAGGAGCAGGTGGAAGAGGAAGGCGGAGGAGGGTGGGGTGTCCCGGAGGCGCCCGGTGCAGGGCCTCGGTGGGAGGGCCTGGCCACGGACTCCTGGTCCCCTGTGAGGTGCAGCCGCCGGCTCTGGGTCCCCAGCTGGGCCTGCCTCCCTGCTGCTGGCCACCGCCACCACCGCCACCGCCGCCAACACCACCACCACCACCACCACCTCCGCCGCCGCC